CTATTTAGACTTAGAACCTAATTGCATTAGCCAAATTGATTCAAAATTGGCTTAAATCACAATATTGAATTGAAATCTAAGGTCCATTGATATAAAAAAAAATTTTCCAGTAAAATAGAGGGTTTAACTCATACTAATTTTAATTTAATATATACTATTTAACATTGCATTTTTTTACATAATACTAAACATTAAAATTTTTTAAGCTCACTTTTACCGTACTTTTCTAAATGTAGTTTTTCCAATCCAAATTTTTTTACCACATAAAAAACCTGTTATTCTAAATTATCACATATATTAAAAATTAGCAATTAAAATAAATTTTGCTAAAAATAGGAGTTAAAAGTTGAAATTGCAAACGAATTTTTATTTTTAGATGCACTATATATTAGACATCAATTCTAAAATATTATCTAGTTTAATTTAAATACTCATGTTTTATCTTTAAAAATATATTCACAAAATAAATAATGTATTGCTTATGTTCTACGTTAAAAACTCCAATTAAGTACTTAAATGTTAAATCATAAAAGCCAACATGATTTCCAACTTTTTAGACCAAAGAGTTGGTAAAAAATAATCCGAAACTAGTTAAACTGCAATGGAAGAATAGAAAGCAAAGAACTAGTTTTCGGAATCAAAGATATAACTTTCATTAGGTTAACACTATATATATACAACAGATAAAGAGTATTTTTCGCAAAAGCTGGAATCTATATCAGCTTTGAATGCTCACGTTATCCTTCATGTCTCATAAGGTTGACAAAGCAAAAGAAAGAGAGAGGGGCAAGGAGAGAATATGAGAGGAAGAGAGAGAAAAAAAAAATAATGAGTAACATTCATTCTTGTTTTCTTCTTCATCAAGAGCAGTCCCACATTGCAACTAACAGTTCGTACAACAACAATGTCTATCAAGATAAAATAACTTTTGCTCTTCCCTCATAATGAATTCTTTGGTCCTACTAAGGGTTTTATAGCACGTGTTGGATCTTGATTTGAATTCACATATGGTTAAGTTTTTGTCAGCCTCTGCTATACAAAATATCATTGATTGATTACTCGTTTTATGTATTGTCTATGTATTACATGTTATGTCACATCTAGTAATAATTTTTATATATATTAAATTAAAATAAATAATAATAATAATAAATTAAAACTTTTACTTTCAATAATAATTGATAAATTTTCATAATTATTTTTACATAAATTTTTGAAAATTATATTTATAATTAAATTTTACATTCATGTAATTAATTATTATATTAAAAAATAAATAATTAATAAATTAGAATTTAATTAAACAATCAAAACTCACACATTATCATATTTAAATTAAAACCTTAAAATTTTAAGTCATTTTTTTATCATTAAATCAAGATTTTATTGATATTTTTTAAGTAATTTTATATTTTAAAAACGTTGTATTATAATTTTGTTATCAATATTTTTTAATATATCTTTTTAATATACATAATTAAGTTGTCTTTTAACCACTGATTTTTTTTATTATGTAAATAAATCTTTAAAATAGGCTTTCGAGGAAGATATGAGGCGTGGATTCTAAAATACCCGCCATGCCCCTTTGTCCCTCTAAGGGAACTGCCCTCCTTAAAAAAAAAACATGATCGCTAAGAACTCTTCCAATTTTATCTAAAAAACACTTAATTAAAATTTTTTTTCCTAAGGCACCACTGCGCGTTACATAGCTCCGCCTCTGGTCTCGTGTCTTTTATTCTTCGAATGCTTGTTTGACAATTTCCTCTTGCCAGCTTTCAATTTTCAATTAGTATATAATACCAGGTGTTGCTATTGCAATTAGCTTGTAAAATATAAACACCCCAAAAGAACTTAGAGCTTTTGGGTCTTTATCTCTTTCATCCCGAGAAGTAGAAATTCACTGGTTCCGTTTGATGGCCAGAAGTGGGTATGAAGCTGGGATGAAGATGATGGAGGAACTGACCACAAATGCTGAGCAAATTTAAGAACAGGTATTGGAGGAAATACTGGGGACAAATGCGGGAACAGAATATTTAAGGAGATTCCTCCGTGGCGAAACTGACACAAAACTCTTCAAAGCAAATGTTCCCATTGTTACTTATGAAGATATCAAGCCTTACATTGATCGGATTGCTAATGGGGAGCCATCAGATATTCTTTTGGATGAACCTGTTATTCAGTTCTATCGAAGGTATAAATTTCTTGCTTCTGTTTTCCTTTGTTTTTTTTTTTTTTTTTCCATGCTCCCTCATTCAATCCTGTTTGATCATACGCAGCAGTGGGACTTCCGGAGGGCAGCCAAAATTGATACCTACCACGGCTGAACTTGCTAACAAAGGGGCAATATTTGATACCTTGTTACAGTCTGTGATGACAAAGTAAGGAACTCCACATCAAAATTCATTCAATCACTCTCTGTTTCCATTCTGTTAGATATCCTCCTGAAACACTGTTGCAGAAAGCCCTCCTTTGTTTTTCTTCCTTATTGGCTTCAGACCAGCTTTTACAAATTACAACAGCTGAGCCCGGAAACTAACTACTTCAGTTTATCCATTCACAGGCACTTTGGTGACTTAGACCATGCAGGAAAAAAAATGGAACTTATGTTTACTAAACCAGTGATTGAAACTCCTTCTGGCCTCCAGGCAGCATCTGTATCAACAAGCATATTCAAGAAGAGTGGCTTTAGAACCATTTCCAAGCTTTACACAAGCCCTATTGAGACAATCTTTTGCTCAGACACCAAACAGAGCATGTACTGCCAATTACTTGCTGGTTTAATACGACGAGATGAGGTTGTCACGGTTGGCTCAACCTTTGCATCTACGGTGCTAAGATCTATCAAGTTTTTAGAAGATTACTGGCAAGAGCTATGCTCTAACATAAAAATAGGTCAAATAAGCGATTGGATCATTGACTCAGGATGCAGAAACGCAGCATCATTGATCTTGAAGCATAATCCAGATTTGGCTTATTCGATAGAAAACATATGTAGTTGTAAATCATGGGAAGGAATAATCAGAAAGCTGTGGCCTAAAGCAAAGTATATCAGTGCCATTAATACCGGTGTTATGAGTCAATATACTGCTGAACTTGAGTTCTATGGCGGAGGTCTTCCTTTAGTGTCAGGCTTTTATGCTTGCTCAGAAGCTATATGTGGTATCAATTTAGAACCTCTAAGCAAATCTTCAGATGTCTCTTACACATTTCTCCCCAATATGGCTTACTTTGAATTCCTTCCTATGAAGAAAGACTGTGTAACAATTTCTCAAGATCAGGCTCAGTTTGATGGTTTGTCTCGCCATGAATCTATAGAAATGAAGACCAACAATGAAGATACTGAACCTGTCGATCTTGTAAATGTGAAGCCTGGTCAATGTTATGAACTACTTGTCACAACTTCTGCAGGTAAAATTTCCACCTTCAATTTAAATCATAAAGATACCCCTTTCATTTGATGAAATGCCATTTCCTAGTTCTTTATTATACTTCCTACATAAAAGGGTCTGACAATGATCTAATCTTGTCTTGATATTCCTTCTTTTTTTCAGGGTTATATCGATATAGAGTTGGAGATATTCTTATGGTGAGTGGTTTCCACAATAATACACCTCAATTCCGATTTGTGGAGAGGCAAAATGTTATTCTAAGTATTCATGTGGATAAGACAAGCGAAGCAGACCTCTTAAAGGCAGTGACAGAAGCAAAGGCTCTTCTTGATCCGCTCGGAATCTTCTTGACAGGGTACACTAGCTATGGTGATACTTCTTCAATACCAGGTCACTATGTCTTATTTTGGGAGCTGAAGGGAAAAGAAGGCAACAATATCAAAGAGGTTGATCCAAAGATAATGGTAGAATGTTGCTCTAAAATGGAAGAGTCATTGAATTATACATATAAAATGTATAGGAAAGAAAATGAAATTGCAGCTTTGGAGATTAGGGTGGTGAAACAAGGAACTTTTGATGCATTAATGGATTACTATGTGTCCAAAGGAGCTTCTTTGAGCCAATTCAAGGCACCTAGTTGCACCAAATCTATGGAAGCCTTAAAGATATTAGATTCAAGAGTGATAGGAAAGTTTTTCAGCCCAAAAACTCCTATATAATCTGTTGCATCTATTCGTGTATGTTAGTGTTTAAAAATTCCAATTACTTCCAATGTTTAAAAACTCCTATGTTATTAACTTAGAGAATGCCTTTTGACTTTTTTGTTTAATATTACCTATATTTTCTTTTATTTTATTTTATTTTATAAATGAGGTCCTAATTTGAGAATAAGAGAAGAAGTGATAGTATTAAGATTTGAATCTAAAACTTGTTGAATATTATTTTTTAAGGGTGATTCATGACCATTGAAACTAAGTTTTAGATTCAATATTTATTTCACTTTTTTTCAATCTAAAAAATTTCAAGGTCTTTACAGTATTATACCTTATTGTCCCATCTTATATGGCAAAAATATTTTAATTCTTTTTTTTTTTTCATTTTAAGGCCATTTGTTTTAAATCCATTGTTTAAAGAACGACCCATGTTTATAAGTGTCGTTGTTTTTGGTACCTTTAAAGAGAAATATCTTTGACTTTTTTGTTGGTTTTCAAAACACAATGGGTAATTGGTCTCATGTCAATGAAAGATCATTTATAAGTCTTGTTTTATTTATGTTTATAAATTATATCCAATTATTTTACAAAATAAACCACTTTTTAGTGTAATTATACTAATTTAAAAGATCTCAAATATATAATATATTTTTTTTTTTCATGTCCATGGGGGCAAAACTTTAAAGAATTAAAATCTTTTGTAATAACATTTTAGTATATCTAAGGGGGCTTTATATCATTTTGTTAGAGGTGAAGCTAGGAAAATAGAAAAGGGGACCAAATAATAAATTCAAGAGGGAAAAAGAGCTAGGTATAATATTTGATATAAATTATATCAATATTTTTTAATATATCTTTTTAATATACATAATTAAGTTATCTTTTAACCATTGATCTTTTCTTTGATTACGTAAATAAATCTTTAAAACAGGCTTCCGAGGAAGATACAAGGCGTGGATTCTCAAATACCCGCCATGCCCCTTTCCCCCTTTCAAGGGCACTGCCCTCCTCTAAAAAAAATGATCACCAAGAACTCTTCCAATTTTATCTAAAAAAACACTTGATTTAAATTTTTTTTTCCCAAGTGAGGCACCACTGCGCGTTACATAGCTCCGCCCCTGGTTTCATGTATTTTATTCTTCGCACGCTTGTTTTACAATTTCCTATTGCCAGCTTTCAATTTTCAGTTAGTATATAATACCAGGTGTTTCTATTGCAATCAGCTTGTAAAATATAAACACCCCAAAAGAACTAGAGCTTTTTGGGTCTTTATCTCTTTCATCCTAGAAAGTAGAAATCACTGTTCGGTTTGATGGCCAGAAGTGGGTATGAAGCTGGGATGAAGATGATGGAGGAACTGACCACAAATGCTGAGCAAATTCAAGAACAGGTATTGGAGGAAATACTGGGGAGAAATGCGGGAACAGAATATTTAAGGAGATTCCTCCGTGGCGAAACTGACACAAAACTCTTCAAAGCAAATGTTCCCATTGTTACTTATGAAGATATCAAGCCTTACATTGATCGGATTGCTAATGGGGAGCCATCAGATATTCTTTTGGATGAACCTGTTATTCAGTTCTATCGAAGGTATAAATATCTTGCTTCTGTTTTCCTTTGTTTTTTTTTTTTTTTTCCATGCTCCCTCATTCAATCCTGTTTGATCATATGCAGCAGTGGGACTTCCGGAGGGCAGCCAAAGTTGATTCCTACCACGGCTGAACTTGCTAACAAAGGGGCAATATTTGATACCTTGTTACAGTCTGTGATGACAAAGTAAGGAACTCCACATCAAAATTCATTCAATCACTCTCTGTTTCCATTCTGTTAAATATCCTCCTGAAACACTGTTGCAGAAAGCCCTCCTTTGTTTTTCTTCCTTATTGGCTTCAGACCAGCTTTTACAAATTACAACAGCTGAGCCCGGAAACTAACTACTTCAGTTTATCCATTCACAGGCACTTTGGTGACTTAGACCATGCAGGAAAAAGAATGGAACTTATGTTTACTAAACCAGTGATTGAAACTCCTTCGGGCCTCCAGGCAGCATCTGTAACAACAAGCATATTCAAGAAGAGTGGCTTTAGAACCATTTCCAAGCTTTACACAAGCCCTATTGAGACAATCTTTTGCTCAGACACCAAACAGAGCATGTACTGCCAATTACTTGCTGGTTTAATACGACGAGATGAGGTTGTCACGGTTGGCTCAACCTTTGCATCTACGGTGCTAAGATCTATCAAGTTTTTAGAAGATTACTGGCAAGAGCTATGCTCTAACATAAAAATAGGTCAAATAAGCGATTGGATCATTGACTCAGGATGCAGAAACGCAGCATCATTGATCTTGAAGCATAATCCAGATTTGGCTTATTCGATAGAAAACATATGTAGTTGTAAATCATGGGAAGGAATAATCAGAAAGCTGTGGCCTAAAGCAAAGTATATCAGTGCCATTAATACCGGTGTTATGAGTCAATATACTGCTGAACTTGAGTTCTATGGCGGAGGTCTTCCTTTAGTGTCAGGCTTTTATGCTTGCTCAGAAGCTATATGTGGTATCAATTTAGAACCTCTAAGCAAATCTTCAGATGTCTCTTACACATTTCTCCCCAATATGGCTTACTTTGAATTCCTTCCTATGAAGAAAGACTGTGTAACAATTTCTCAAGATCAGGCTCAGTTTGATGGTTTGTCTCGCCATGAATCTATAGAAAAGAAGACCAACAATGAAGATACTGAACCTGTTGATCTTGTAAATGTGAAGCCTGGTCAATGTTATGAACTACTTGTCACAACTTCTGCAGGTAAAATTTCCACCTTCAATTTAAATCATAAAGATACCCCTTTCATTTAATGAAATGCCATTTCCTAGTTCTTTATTATACTTCCTACATAAAAGGGTCTGACAATGATCTAATCTTGTCATGATATTCCTTCTTTTTTTCAGGGTTATATCGATATAGAGTTGGAGATATTCTTATGGTGAGTGGTTTCCACAATAATACACCTCAATTCCGATTTGTGGAGAGGCAAAATGTTATTCTAAGTATTCATGCGGATAAGACAAGCGAAGCAGACCTCTCAAAGGCAGTGACAGAAGCAAAGGCTCTTCTTGATCCGCTCGGAATCTTCTTGACAGGGTACACTAGCTATGGTGATACTTCTTCAATACCAGGTCACTATGTCTTATTTTGGGAGCTGAAGGGAAAAGAAGGCAACAATATCAAAGAGGTTGATCCAAAGATAATGGTAGAATGTTGCTCTAAAATGGAAGAGTCATTGAATTATACATATAAAATGTATAGGAAAGAAAATGAAATTGCAGCTTTGGAGATTAGGGTGGTGAAACAAGGAACTTTTGATGCATTAATGGATTACTATGTGTCCAAAGGAGCTTCTTTGAGCCAATTCAAGGCACCTAGTTGCACCAAATCTATGGAAGCCTTAAAGATATTAGATTCAAGAGTGATAGGAAAGTTTTTCAGCCCAAAAACTCCTATATAATCTGTTGCATCTATTCGTGTATGTTAGTGTTTAAAAATTCCAATTACTTCCAATGTTTAAAAACTCCTATGTTATTAACTTAGAGAATGCCTTTTGACTTTTTTGTTTAATATTACCTATATTTTCTTTTATTTTATTTTATTTTATAAATGAGGTCCTAATTTGAGAATAAGAGAAGAAGTGATAGTATTAAGATTTGAATCTAAAACTTGTTGAATATTATTTTTTAAGGGTGATTCATGACCATTGAAACTAAGTTTTAGATTCAATATTTATTTCACTTTTTTTCAATCTAAAAAATTTCAAGGTCTTTACAGTATTATACCTTATTGTCCCATCTTATATGGCAAAAATATTTTAATTCCTTTTTTTTTTTTTTTTTCATTTTAAGGCCATTTGTTTTAAATCCATTGTTTAAAGAACGACCCATGTTTATAAGTGTCGTTGTTTTTGGTACCTTTAAAGAGAAATATCTTTGACTTTCTTGTTGGTTTTCAAAACACAATGGGTAATTGGTCTCATGTCAATGAAAGATCATTTATAAGTCTTGTTTTATATTGTTTAAAGAACGACCCATGTTTGTAAGTGTCGTTGTTTTTGGTATCTTTAAAGAGAAATATCTTTAACCTTTTTTGTTGGTTTTCAAAACACAATGGGTAATTGGTCTCATATCAATGAAAGATCATTTATAAGTCTTGTTTTATTTATGTTTATAAATTAAAAGTAATACAACTTTTCAAAAGCATTTTGAGGGAAAGTTAAAAGTATCAATTTTTCTGAAAATAAAAAGGTTAAAAAATATATTTTTAGAGAAAAATTGAAAGTATCAATTTTTTTTAAAAATAAAATTTTTAAAATAAAAATTATCAAGAAAAGTATTTTGAGAAAAAATTGAAATTATCAATTTTCCTTGAAATTAAAACTTAAAAAAAAATATTTTGAGGAAAAGTTAAAAGTATCAATTTTTCTTGAAATTAAAATTTTAGAAAAAAAAAATATTTTGAGGAAAAGTTGGAAGTACCAATTTTCCTTAAAAATAAAAATTATCAAGAAAAACATTTTAAGGAAAAGTTGAAAGTATCAATTTTCCTTGTACAAAAGCAATGAGTTTTTTTTTTTATGAAAAGAAAAATATTTATATCAAAAGTTGAATCATTATTCTTTTTTTATTTTATTCCTTTTTTTTTCTTTTCTTGAATTTTTTTAATGTTAAATAATCTGATGATAAAGTCTTTATAAATGAAACAGTAGTTTTCTTGTATAATTTTGAGGTGAGAGAATTTTTCTTAATTTTTTGCCAAAAGTATTGGAGTTAATTAAGAATAATTTCCAATAATTAATTACTTGATAAATTTTTTAAGGCTTATTGGATAACACGAATTTGAGCTGGTACCATCTTTCGATGGACATTGTGAGAGTGCTATAACCTTTCTCACTCATAACCAAACTCTTGAATCGTGTTCTGGTTAGTAGACCCAAACCTATTCTTTTAGGGACCCTTAAGCTTGTGTGTTTCATAAAAGGATAGATTCCTTAGGTGGCCAATCGCACCTAAACAAAAAATATTGGTGGTGACTTTTCAAGTCAATGTCTAGCGATAGATCTCCGGATCTAAACATTATGACAGTTTGATGACTCCGCTAGGAACTTTATTGAGAGTTAGGCCAGTAAATAAATTTGTGTTATCCAAAAGCCTAATAAAATTTTTATATAGATTTTTTTTATTCATTCATATTTATTTACTTTGTTAATTCTGTCATTCATATGCATATGCATAACATGAGCTCTATACCCAAGCTTCGTCCCTCTAAGAGGGAGTAAATTACTTATTGCTTTCGTGAGGTTTTAATGCCTCCGCAATGGCTAACAAATACTCTAACTCAAATTGAACTTTTTTCGCTTGTAGCTTGTAATGGGTAAGGATTGAGGTGCCTTACTAGTCTGTGATAGACAATGAAGTAAGTAGCAATTTGAGAACCTTTAGACTTTAGCCTTGAACCACATATAGTGTACACTTAAAAAGTCAACCCTAAGATAGAGCCCTTACTACCCAATGATAGATATACCTTAAAATTAGGACACAAGAAGGGTGTTTATCTAATTATTTTGATTGTCTGACTTTGTGTATTATTTTTATTATTGTATGTAACATTATGCATCTGCATCACTTTTATTTCATCTATGAAACTAACCATGTTATTTGTCTGATTTTATGCATCTGCATTATTTCCTTCTATGCATCATTTTCATGATCTTGTTTTAACATTATCATTTGCATCATTTTCATTTCATCCATGAAGATCCACATTCTATTCATGCATCAACATATCTTACATAAAGCATAGCATAACATTTTTAATCATAATTATGGTGCTTAAGGTTCAAGGATAGCTTCACCAAGCAACCTTACTCACCAATACAATACAAGGGCTCGAGCCAGATAGATGAAGCAAAAAAACTCTCACTGATTTGAAAAATTAGAAAAGGCATAAGAAAAGCTAGAAAATAAGTTGAGTAAGATTCTCGATGTTTTCAACAAGTTAAACAAGGGAAAAGGAATAGAAGAGAACATAAGTCAACAAGACCATCCATCATAAGAGGTGGATGACCCACTATACCCTCATGGTTTTAGGCGACATCAAGCCTAACCCGCATAAGGTCTACTGCCCCAACAGTTCACACATCTTATAAGGTACACATATCCTGAAATACCATCAGTTTCAAATTCACCATAGTACCAGAGCTACATAAATCCTGTCTTTACTGAAAAAGTAGTAAAATCAATATCAGTCTCTAATTTGGATAATCTAGAGGATAAAAAAAATGAGGCCCAAAGAGAATGAGACTTTAGAAGCCTCAAAAGCTAAACAGAAAATGAACTTGTTAGAGAAAAGGCTTCAAGTAGTGGAAAGAGTGGGTTTTTATGGTTCTGTCGATGTTACTGGACTCTGTTTAGTCCCAGATGTGGTTATCCCTCTGAAGTTCAAAGTGCTAGAGTTCAAGAAGCACGATGCTACAAAGTATTCGAAGATTCACATTACTATGTACTATCAAAAAATGGTTGTCCATGCCAATAATGAAAAGCTCTTGATGCACATATTTCAAGACAGTCTCACTGGCTCTGTTGCTAGATGGTATGTTCAACTAGACAGGAATTATATTCGTTCTTGGAGTGATATGGTCCATGACTTCATCAATCAATATCGACATATCATAGACTTAGCTCTTGATCACTTTTTCTTGTAAAATATAAAAAAGAAGGTGACTAAATCATTCAAAGAATATGCCCAAAGGTGTAGGGACATAGCTACTCAAGTGCAACCTCTTTTGACTGTAAAAGAGACCACTGTATTAGTTTTCAGTATTTTAAAATCTCTTTATTATGAAAAGATGATAGAAAATACCATAAAAAACTTCGTCGACATAGTGATTTCAGGTGAAATAATTGAGAATGCCATTAAAATGGCAAGTCAAAAGGATGAGAAACCAAAAAGGTACCCAAAAAGAAAGAGACTGAAGCTCAAACTGTAGGCTTTGTTAGATAGTTCAGGGGATACCAACCCTATCCACAGGGTTATTCCCCATACTATCCTGCTGTGAACAATACCTCATCCTACCCATACTAGCCAGCTGCATAACCATCTTACCCATTGACATGCCAGTCTATTTTCAGCCCTCAAACTCTCATATACAGCCTCAATATTCAACCTTTCACAAGGCTTCAAGCTCATCCTGCTAACCCAACAAGTGGTTTACAAGAGCAATCAATTACCCGAGAAAAACTTGTATTCGATCCAATTTTCATGACTTATACGAAGTTATATCAAGAGCTCTATAATAACCATTTGATTGCCCCCAATGGTGTGAAGCCACTCAAGCCACCTTACCCTAAGTGGTATGATCCCATAGCCCATTACGACTATCACTATAGAATTACTGGGCATTTCATTAAAAATTATATTGTTCTAAAGCATAAGGTGCAACGATTAATCAAGGATGGAATGATAAGTTTTGATTAAGGAAGAGCAACAACACCTAATGTTATCAGTAATTTATTGCCAAATCACAATATCAATGCTCTGAATGAAAATCAAGAACATGTTGGTTAAAAAAAGCCCGAAGAGTTGTAATGAATCGATGGGCAAGATGTCAATAAAGATCCTTCACCTGATTGCATAGGGACACAATTTTGGAGAATGAATATAAGGTTGATTGAAAGTTTCTTATCATTTTAGGATTTATTTTAAAGTAATGTTAGGTTTCTTTTAGGTAGTAGGATTTCATTTGTTATCATTTCAGTAAAAGGCAATTTAATGCATTTCATTACATTTTTTTTTCATTCAACTACTATTCCATGCTTTGTCACATTTCATAACTTTCGTTCCCATTCTTGAATTCCAAACGATGAACGTTTAGACAATGATAGCAATAATTTTAAAATTTAATTTTAAGAACTCATTCACATTGATTTAAGGAGATTATTTAAGCAAAAGAATCCAGCTGCTAGCAGATATAAAATTAATATGACTCAAAGAACCGCAGTCTCTTATAAAGATTCATGAGCTTATTTTTGTTTAATAGATGATGTTCAAAGAAAGCATTCACATTTGAGATGAAAAATGACCATTTTTTTTTTAAAAACCATTCATCGTTACCTCTTTGAGCCTGTTATGATTTTTTTTTAAAAAACCCTACCCAATGATCATCTTCCATAGTGGGAGGTAATTTTTGAAAAAAAAAAGAGCCCAAAGATCACAAAAGATCTAAAAAAAAAGAGAAAAAATGAATGCCATAACAAGTTGGAGCAAAGTAATGATAGTTCTTTTGTGAAGAATGAGATGAAAAATAAAAAGTAGTGAAATAATGTGAAATGGGACAAAATGCCAAGTTACAAAATGATCTTTTGGTTTTAAACCTTTTAAACACATGTTTTAAGCCTATTTTATCAATTTCTTTCATGACCCCTCACTATGGCCTACATTACAACTTTTAAAAGTCTATTTGAATCAAATGTGAGTGCTCAAATTGAATCATCATATATTGGACTAAGGCATGCTCGTGATGGAATGATAGGATTATGCTTCGTTGCTCTAGAGAATAATGTGGAAGATATATCCATAATAGGTGAACGAATGAAGAAAATGAAAAAATGAAAAAAAGAAAACAAATGAA